CCGCAACCATCGGCTCCGCAGTCAGGCACGTTAACCACTCGGCCACCTGGTCGGCATTGAGGTGAAAGTAAAAGGAAGAAAGAAGGAGAGATGGCAATAATGGGACATCATAAATTTGCTTGTGATTACCTAACTTTTAAGTATTAGAGCAGTTCTTGAGGTGGTCGCACTGTTAAAACTACAGCAGCCGCACTCTCACTGCGTCAAAACTTATCCTTTATTCAGCAATACTAGACAAAAGCTTTGGGTTCTTTAGATTTTGGTTTTCTTTAGATTTTAAAAGTATAGACTCTTTGATACCAATCTGGAACGTCTTAATTGCTCAGCGAAAATGGAAGTGAGAATGAGTATCATGAATAAGAATTTCTGCAAAAATAACGAAACATCGAGAAAAGCTTCTTTTTATCTCACATACGATTGTAACACTTCTGAAATTGGACGACAAACGGCCCAATAAAATTATGAGAAAGTAAAAAAAATATATGGTAATAGTTTTCCTTCATAAATTTGTTTGTAATAAACTTTTAAACACTACACTGTGAGAAAAATTCCGGTTCAAATTGCGGTAAAAAGTAACAGTACTCAAAGAACCGGTACTTTTTAACGGAAAATTCATTTTTAACAAAAACTTATTACCAAATAAAAAGTCAGATATACCGTAATTTTACAAGTAATATTTACAGTAAAATCACTGGATCACAATAATTAAATAAATATAAATGTAAAAATTACGGTATAATATTTTCCGGTAAAAGTAAATTTTACGATAAGATGAATTTCATTAATGATGCACCTAAAGTTCCGGTACGTCATGTCGCAATATTATTTATACTTTCAACCGGAATTTTCTTACGAAATAGGGCAAATCTTGAGGTGTTCAACATCCATTTCATACTGTTGGATCACATAAGAAACATATGAATTCTCCTATCCGAAAAAGTCTACATTGTTTGCAACAGCAGCCGCACTATCATTATGTTAAAAATATGTGTCGAATATCAGGCAATAATAAACAAGAGTATTGGGTTAATCGTTTTTTTTTTTCCTTAAGTGGTCACAGTACCCGAAAGATGACCAAAATACCGAAAAAAAATTATTGCTTATAATAAACTTCGAACTATTTCAAATGCACAGAAAAAAATCATCTCTCTATCTGCATTTTTAAAAAAGCTATGAATTATTTTAGATTGCCCTAATACAGAAACTTGCCAAGCAGACAGACTTTAAAGAGTTTTTTCTCATAGATGATAATTTTGTGCTTAAGAAATTAATGAAATCCCTAAGGAATTTTTTCTATGTAAGATAAAGCTTTGAAGTAAATTCCGTTTTATCGCAAGTATAATATACTTATTTAAACTGTGCATGGAATAAGCATTTTATGAGGTATCACAATTTTTACAGCATATTATATACCTAACTGGAATTTTTGAACTTTTTTTTCCACCTTTTTACAAAATAAATCTATAAAAAATATTTTAGTTGATATATCAACAAATGAGTGCACTTAATTGTGAAGATGAATACTGCAAGCACTAAGAAAGAAAAAAAATTTGAAATCTTGAAATAAAAAAGCCTTAAGGATTTAAAAATTTTGAATTTTTTCAATAATTTTTAAAATTTTAAAAAAATTAAGCACTTTAATTACTTTTTGAAAATTAATTATTGATTATAAGTTTAAATGAGCATGTAAAGAATCCCCAAAGGAATGTTATATCTATATTTAAAAAAATTGTCACAAGGGTACTGTGACCCCTTAGTATTTAAAAAGTTTAAAGTGCGAGAACATTTCATTTACTCTGACATTTCTCTTATTGTTTGAAGCGAATTTTAGAACAAAAGTTGGCTTAACCGCTCTGCGTTGAACTCAATTGGACAGACAGTACAAAATGTGACTTCGAGGTCAAAATTTCAATTTTTAAACTTAGCACACCAATCGCGCGAGAATCTTTCAGCTAATGCACCCTCTCTATACACAGCACAAATATTACGAGAAGCTTTTGTTGTCTTAGATCATTGATTAAAAACAAGAAGGAGATAGCGAATAATTGATTGGAACTAAGAAACAGGACGTGGATTGCCATGGAACAAAACTCTTCCATATGATTTCAAACATCATGCCAAAAATATTGAATAACAAACGGAATGAAACTAAAATTGCGATAACTTAATAGCTGACAAAAGTATTATTTTAAACTATTAATATCTCGCTGCTCCTAACGTCGTGGCATATTTTCTGATTCCCATTTAGTAATATCAATTGCAATATTTTATTACTTAAGCGAAGTAAAATGTTAAGCAAAACTTAATTTTCATTTATGTAAGTAGAATCAAGGGAGATTTATATATTGATGATAATCATAAATTGATTGTTTCTAGATTAATTACATATATTGAGAGAAATCCATGGAATTGACAAATAAATATTCGATAAATCATTCTATCCGTCGAAATAAGTCATTTACGAACTGAAGCAAGAAACCCCAAACAGATTATTGCTAGTTTTAGTTCAATAAAGCGGGAAATGATTGCAATTTAGAGTTAACAGATGAAACATTTAATAAGTTCAGTCACAAGGAATCAAAATGTTCAGTCTAACTAGTGGAACCTTTAACTACTTAAAAGTAATTTTTCAGCAAATTATATTTTCGTACGTGACATAAATTACGAAAAAATATTTCATTTTTAAGTTTTAAATAGTTTATCTCAAATATATTAACCGCTATGGTATGTTAGTTTAATGATTTAATAGATCTTAGCTTTATTATTTTATGAGCTTATGAATATTATTTTATAAAGTGCAGGTTTAAACTGAAAAGAGTTTTTTTTAAAGAATATATAAAATAATAGATAAATATTAGTTTTAAACATTTGTTGTTTAAACAAATTATAAGGACAAACGTATGTTTTTGGTTAAGTATAATGCAGTGCAAATGTATTATTCTGAATAATTCAAATATGAGATGTCACGCCACTGAGTTTAGTTCAGTGATTCAAGTAATTAAACTGTAATACATTCTTTTTTGCTTACGAAGTTAAAAGTAAAGTGCATTTTAAAGCATTTCACCACTAGATTACCGTCATTGACCGTACAAGTAAATTTATGTCCGTAAATCTATCAAGACTATAAAAATTCAGGTCTACCGTAAATTAGCATTTTGCTCTTATCTTAAAAACGACTTGTTTGTCGACTATGGCAAATAAAAAAGTGCTGTTATCTGTCGTTGGAGTAAGAAAGTTGCCTTTTCGTTTTTGATAAAGCTGAAGAAATGATTTTTGTAGCCAACTGAGGCAGAATACTATTTTCACCATAAAAGTGAGCGTGAAGTGCTGAAAATAGAATAATGAACGAAGCCCTCTGAATAGCTTTTGATCTCATGATCAAATCCTCTCGTTCTAGGATTAAATCTATATGGAGTGAGGGATGGACATTAAACATGCAAATTAATTAGCGCAGACGATATTTTAAGTTGCGAAGAAAAATTACGTCAAGAAGTTGTATATTTGAAATTCGATTTTTCATGACTGATTTCATTCAAATTTTGTATTTTGCCGTGTAAATTACTTTCTTTAAAATAATGTAAAAAATTGTGTACCTAAAAATTCAAATTTTTTTCGTCTATTACTAAACAAAATAATCAAAAATAATAAATGCATACTAAAAATAATTATTCGTATGGAATTATCTTTTGATAAACGAATTTATATAATTGTTTGTGAAAATATTTTAATTTTCATAAAAAGACCTCGAGACATGACGAATTACGCAAAAAGTAAAATTATCATTAAAGGGTCCAAACTTTACTATGTACTTTAAGTGTTTCAATAAATATGGGTGATTTATTTTCTTTACAATCGGACGACTGTAACAAATAAATAGTTTATTTATAAACCTACATGACGTTACTAGTCTTAATTCTTTATAAAGTGTATATTAATCAACTTGAAATAATTAGTCCCACTTCTATGTAAATTTATGAATTTATGCTAAACGAGCAATTCAAATAAAACACCGTATTTTGTTTCTTTTGTACAGGATGTCCTTATCAAATTAGTAGTTAAACTATAAATCTAAATGAGTACTTTAGTGATAAAGTAGTAAGTCGCACTAGTACTGCATAATGGGGTATTGGTGACGATCTGATGAACACCCTTGAAGATGATCCGAAAATATGCCATCATGATTTTGATGCTCTGTTGACGAGATAGCTCCCCCGCTTTGGTAGCCCAAAAACTTGTGAGTGTTATACAAATTAAACAGTAGAACAGGTGAACGTATCGAGACAGCACACCCACGTTCTCTTCTCAGATTGATCAAAGTGGTCACCTATGTGGCCAACTGACAGCAGCCAGTGATGTTTAACTTCAGTGATCCACAGGGAACCTTGTTTTAAGAATTAATCAACATGAAATAAATTATTTCTTTCTTATGAGTGAATTGCATTATGCACTTTGAATTATTTCATAAATATTTTAATACATTAAATTATTAAATATAATTAATTATTAATGATTTCATAAAGGAATTCATTTTCTTTTCTGCAGAACACTCGTAACAAAACTTCATCTTTGTTAATTGTTTTATAAATTTGAGTTAATCAATTTATAAGGCATATCTTTATTTGTATAGGACGATCGTATTAAGTTAGTGCTTAATTTTATTAATCAACATAAGGAGCTGAATTTCATTTTGTTTTTTTGTAAGTTTTTCACTGTAAGTAATTTGATTCCATCAATAGGGGTTAAATTTTCTTAAATGTTTACCAAATAAAAAATTTATTAACACTAGGGCATCAACCCGTTATAGCAAATTAACCTATAATTGCAAATTTTAACTGAAATGAACTTCTGAGTCCAGTAATAAAATTTGTTTCCTTACATTGTGATTTTTCTTCAATTGATGCAATAATCGTAAAATATTGCATTTTCTTAAGAATACCCAATGCTTAACAGTTATTACAAAACTTATATTTTAGCCAATTTAAAGCAAAAAAAAAACTCACCTTCTTTTTATTTTTTAGCACCGCTTCATCTCTAGGTTTAACCTCTAGGTTACTTCCACGAAGTCTTAATCCCATCTTTCCATATGCATAACAAATAAAACACAGTGGCAGAGCATACTGCAGAAATGCAAGCCCATAACGGTACACGCCCCAGAAATTCCTGGGGATCTTCGTGTTCGTGCAAAATGGCTTAGTGTCTTCCATCGTCTCTGGATCATACACGTAAGTGACACGGAGTGCCATAGCATATGGCACTGCAGCCAAGGCTCCCAGAAACCAAATGAAAAGAATGACAAGTTTGGCACAACGTTTAGATGCGCTTCTTTTACTGAGTGGATAGAAGACAGCTTGGTATCGGTCAAATGCAATGGCCGATAGAGTAAAAACACTAACATTTACGGAAAGAACTTGTACAAATGGACAAAATGAGCACAGAAACTTTGGAAGGATCCATTTTTGGAGCAGAGCGGCTTGGAATTGAAATGGAATTGCAAATAGCCCTATGATTATATCAGCAAGGGCTAAGTTACCAATGTAGTAATTTGTCACTGTTCTCATTCGTCTACGAGATGCAACGACCCAAAGGACGCTGGCGTTGCCTAAAACAGATAGTAGAGATACAGCACCATAGCATATTGACAGAAAGATGACTATGCTTACTGGAACTTGGAATATCTCCGTGTCTATTGGATGAGAAGAATCTGAAGTCAAGTTCAATTGAATTTGTTCAGAAAGTTGACCAGAGTCAGTCATGTTTATTAAAAAAGACGTTTTCTGACTACTATTCATGTAGACTATAAGTTTGCAAGCGCTTATTATAAAATAGTATAGTTTTATGTAATTTTGCATTGGTACGTTTATTTTAATTCCCTTTATCTCGCGAAGATTTTTTTTAAAAAATCATCCTTATTAAAAGCATTTGTTATTTATACAAAGTTATTAGTTGTTAAATTAAAAACAAAATTTTAAGTTTCAAAATTTAAGTATTAAAATTGAAATATTAATTTTCAAGCATTAATTTATATTTCAATTATCTCAAATTTCTGATTGCTAAGTAAATTAAATTAAACTATCAAAAAATATATCAAAGATTAACCAATTAGTTTTTACTAGTTAATTTTTTCTGATCAGTAATTTACATTTTTGAAATGTGCTTTATTTCAATCGAAATTATAATTCGGAAAATTAGTCAGGAAGATTGAATCTGCAATAGTTTTTTCATTTGTCATAGCTGTCAACTTATGCCAATCAAAATCGTTAACGGACATCATTTTACACTTCAATAAATTATTATTACAATTTTAAGAGATAATTGAAAGTAATTAATCTTATATTATTTCATTTTTACAGTAATTTCTTTATGCTTATTCATAGGTAACTTTAGTAAATTATCCACAACTTAAGTAACAACGCTAACTTGAACACCTTGCAAAACTTCTTTAGCAATATTCAATTTACATTTCCGTTACGGCATATTTGAAGGCTTAGAATATTTCACATGAAAAATTTAATCTTTAAGTTTAGGAAATTTTACTGCAAAATACTTAGTAAATAGTTTACAAAGCGTATTTACTTATGATTTTTTGTTTAAACTAAAATTTGCGTTTAAAACTATGACATATAAAATCTGAGTACAAGAAATCCACCGAAATCCAAATTAGGAAGTACTATCTCGTCATCACTTTCGGGAAATGAAAGCCACTCCTGCTTATCATGCGAATCAGAAGCATGACTTACGGGAAGTCCAGAGAGGATTTCTATTTTGTCCTGAAAACTCCGGGTTTTCCTTGACTGCAGAGGGCGCTGTGACAAGGAGTTGAAAACTCTCAAAGACTCGCCTTTTCCACCAACTGTTTTTTTGAATAGAATAGTTCAAAAGCAAAGAAAAGTGCCATGATGAGAGCTTTGAATACCATTTTATTCAACAAAGGCGTGAAAATATTTGTAATTTTATCATAAAGGTGAAATTCTGAGTTTGGAATCGTAAATATAAATGTACAAAGAATTATATGTTATTATAATTCTTTGTATAAAAATGAAATCATCCAGATCCATGCCAATTCTCGGATAAAAGAGGAAGTTTAAATTTTACTATTATACAATGAAAATATTTTATGGGTACTTTAAAGTGCTGCAGTAATAGTTATCGTTTTATGTACATCTTTAAGCTGCAGTTTTTCTATTGTGCTTATCTTTCAAATAGCTAGGGAGTTTTATAAAAATTGAAAAAAGTTTATGAAAGGTGATAAAAAAGTTAATTTTATACTCTGTATACCAATAATGCTAATAATTCCAATAATACCAATAATGCTAAAACTGACCTTTTTCAATGTACATTTACTCAGCATCTAAACAAGATACTACTTCAGTTTTTTTCCCAGAATATTTACAAATGCATGTTTATGTGATAACTGTGAATACATATTTTTGGCAGAAATCTTTTTAAAAAATTATGAACTGAAAACTTTTTTTTTAAAAAAGTTTCATTATTTTTGAGAAAAATCTTTCATAACTCGAAAGGTAATACTGTTAATTATCACAGCATAACACGGCTTAATTCCTGAAAACATTATCACATCATACAACTAATATAATATCAAATATCTCCAAAAAATTTCATAGCAAGTAATTTCTTAGAAAAGGTAATTTCAGCATTATTGATACATGTCTTACAGTTCATTCTTAACAAAAGTATCTGCAGTTGACTATAAATTAATTATTATAAGTACATAAAAAGTTAAAATGTAGTCAAAATGTTTTTAAAACGTCAAATTGTAATCAAGTACTTTTCAAAAGATTTCATCGATTTTATATAGGTTTATTTTTATATTTTATAAGAATAATTTCTTTTCGATCCACATTTGATCCACATTTTTGCAGCAGAATTTATTTTTTATAAGTGGAAGCAAGCAAAAATACAACCATAACCTGATTTTTTTTATATAAAAAGTAATAGATTTCTCTCGGCTCGAGTTTGGAGTCTAAAATTTTAAAATTGTCTGTAAATAATACAATTTATTTCAGAGGATTTGATTTTATGAAAACTAAAAGTTCGTAATAATAATCAGAAAAAGAAAAAAATTCATTATTAAAAATTCGTTCAACAACTTTTAAGGATAAATTAAAGTTTGATTTATATACTGTTACAGTATTTAAGTTTTGTAAACATACTATTTAAATGTTATCCTGAGAACTGTGATGAAGATTACGTCATTTTTAAAAAAAAGTTTGTTACCGTAATTATGGAGTTTAAACTGCAAATCTACAAAGAAATATCGATCCTGAAGCAAATTGATAAGTACCTTTGTGTCTTGAAAAATGATAACTACCTTACGCTAAAAATATAAGGTACTGGTAAGTACGGAAAGGGTACTGGTAAGTACCCTCCGCTTTGCACGAGCTTTACTTTCCAAGTTACACCACCTCAGCGTTGATGAATGAGGAGTAAAAGCTGTGGAAACTTACGTATTGCTCTTTAGACAAATAAAGCATTATTCCAGAATTAAGTTATTACCTAAATCGAATGAGCCCAAACGTAAAACGATAGGATTTAATAGCTTAAAAGTTATGCAGATTTTAAATACGAAAAGTACAATTTTTGAATTGTATTTTTGTACATATTTGACTTTGATATTTTGCTGTTTCAAATAAGACTAAACACGAAGTGATAAGACTATTAATTTAAAAGTTTTTTTTTAATTTCCAATGAGCTGCACAATCGGTATTGCCGATGAGTAGACCTAGAGCGTTCTCCAAAGGTGGTATCCACTCTTTCAGGACCACCACAATGGGTGAGATACCGTTGGTCACGTTAATTTGGACGTCTAGTTTCTGCCACACTAGATGGCTGCACCGAGATTTTATTTGGATGCTAATGTGCACTAGGAATTTAATTTGCCGAAAATGCCAAGAGACAATAAAGCACTCCAGGGATCATACGACATGGCCGCTGAGGATTTTCCGAAAATCCGGTGTCTGGGCCGGGGATCGAGCCCGCAGACTTGGGCTCAGAAGGCCGAAGACAAACCAAGTGCGCCACCCAGCCAATTTAAGCGTTATAAAAAATTTTAAGTACAAAAAATGCAGTTTTCGACTTGTGCCTTTTTTACACATGTGACATAGCTTTCTAGAAAAGTGCCTGCCCAATGATAAACAGGTTTGTGCCCAATACATTTTTAATGCGGAACTGGAATGAGAGTTTTAAGTACGGGATGTTCCGTAAAGACCGCTCTAAATGCATTAATGGAATCCTTATCAGCAATGAAAACAAGGCTTTGACATCGGGGGTCCAAAAATTAATATCTGAGCTTGAAAAAAACGAAACCGATATCGAAGACTGACGACTCACAGTACGAGAAGGCAAACGTAAAAAAAAAAAAAAAAGACAGTAGGATAGCAAGAGAAAACCGAGAGGTGTTGAAACACGATAATTCCTATTCAACCCTAGCAACCTATTCAACCTGTCTGGCATAAATATGGATGCTAAACTACAGATTAAGAGTTGTCTTTGCGGAACACATTGAAAATATTCGATAGAATAAAGAGTTTAGACAGAATTTAGTTTTAGATAAAATATTCAAATACACTCTCATATTTCACAGAATATACAGTTCAAAAATTATGCCTGAAAAATAAAATTTTATCTTTTAAAGTCGCCCTACTTTGTTGAAACTCGAAGCGTAAGATTGTGCATAGCGCAAATCTAGCACATTGCACAATATGCAATTTTCTACTGATCGAAAGGAGGAACGTCCTAAATTCCTCCCTATTATTGTCTTTAACAGCGTGCACTTTTTGGACGTCTGGTTTTTGACAATTTTAGAGCTGTCTTTATTAAACTAATTGCTCTGATTAATTTTTGACTACGTTTTCTACACCCTGGGTAAATAAGGAAGGGAAAAAATTAATGTATAAATCTACACATAGCTATAAAATCAGAAATTATCACTTCACACTATTCCCCATACTTAAAATTGCTCTAAAATATAACTATATTAGCCGATACATTAGATACAATGATTTTTAGATACAATGACAGATAAAATAGTTTCAGAATTCTTATAAAAGCAAGATTTACATCTTGAATTTTTATAAAAATACTAATTTAATTGTGATCATACAGATAGAGAAAAGTTACTTTAATAAAATAATAATTTAAAGAAAACAACTTTTATATCCATCTGATTTTGATTAAAATTTGTTGACTTTTAATAACTTTGTATAAACTATTTCAATGTTTTTATATCAACATGAATTTTTCTATTGAAAATCAAACCAAACTGCCTAATTGAAAGAAAAAGTTGAAAATTGCTTTTAAAATTAAGCGATATTATTTTCAGGTTCTAAATATTGATCTATAAGCAAGGAAAAAACATCTCCCCAAATTATATCTTCCTTTGATAGGTGACAAAAGAAAATGAATTTAACTATTGTTACACTTTATAGTGTAACATTTGAAATGTTAAATATGTATAACACACCATTATTATAAATGTTCAAATTTCTTTGAAAATTGTTTGCTTGATTTTTTTTACTGCGAAGCAAAACGATAAGTTTATATCAAGACTTCAAGGATATCGACGGTTCTTGACATTTGGAAATCTCGTACAAAAGAGTCTTAAAGAGATTCTTCGCCTGTAATAAGCCACCTGCATTCGACTGTAGTACACTAAAATCTGAAGATTTAGGTCGGGCGAATGCGAAATGAGAAGCAAAAAAAAGATCGCATGCCAAAACTGTAGTTCACTTTGCTGTCAAAGACGTTGCCCAGGGTGCACGACGAGGAGGTAGAACCACTTTGCTATGCAGTGGATTCCTGGCCACTGCAATTTATTTGGTAACGATCAGGCAGATTTTATTGCCAAAAAGGGTGCCACTGTACAAAACGAGATACCTCTTTCCACACTCCTAAACTTTATATTAAACATTTAATGCACTCGACGTACCAATATGAATTCAGATGTAAAATGGAAACCAAATACGGAAAATAGTGCTGTTGGATATTCCTGATAGATCTGATAAACCTTTTCACCTGTTTACTGGCAAGATTGTCTAGCCGCTCATCTGAACCACATTGGTATTCTTAATGAGGCTGCCTGTCCCCTATGTGACAAGATTGAGCCCATGAACAAACGTCACCTGCGTGCCTGTGTAATTCTCCATGGAGATACTTCTACATATCTGGAACCTAGAAGACTTTTGGGGAGATAGCCTTCGGCTATCTCTTGAACTTTTTCATGATTTTCTCTGATGTTGTTCCTCTTTTGTTTTTGACTTGTATTAATTTTGTTCTGTACTTGTCCTGTACTTTGTTCATGCGCCCCAGCCATTGGAAATAAAAAAAATTCTTTTACTCATTGTATTATATGTAGGACAAAGATTACAAAATTCATTTATAATTTGTATTTTTTATTGTTTTAATTTTGATATCTTTCTCGTTCTCGATGCAGTTTTCGAAATTTTTTTTTATTTCCAATGAGCTGCACAATCGGTCTTGCCGATGAGCAGACCTAGTGCTTTCTCCAGAGGTGGTATCCACTCTTTCAGGACCACCACAATGGGTGAGATACCGTTGCTCATGTTAATTTGGACGTCTAGCTTCTGCCACACTAGATGGCAGCACCGAGACTCTATTTGGATGCTAAAGTGCACTAGGAATTTAATTTTCCGGAAATGCCAAGAGCCAATAAGGCACTCCAGGGATCTTTTACATGCCGCATAATCATACGACATGGCCTCTGAGTATTTCCTTTCCATGTAGTTTTCGAAATAGCTACATGGATTCTTATTAGCTCACTTATTTACTGCATAATTTTATTATATGTGTAGATGACTAAATTTGTCATGTTTTAAATTTCCTTAGAATTCCGAAATTTTGCATAATTTATAACTTCGCGAATTATTTATGACTATATAACTTATACATTTTAAATGATATACGATTCTGCTCTATTATAATTTAAATATCTAAATTTAATATACCAAAACAAAAAAAATCTGAACTTCTCAAAAAGATTTCAAAGCCACACCATGTATTGACTTTATATTCCTTATTTTTAAAAAAAAATTTTGAGTCTAAGGTGAATTAATTTTAACTTCAATAACTTTTGTGTGTTTGAGTTTCAAGTAGTTGTCAAGTAAGTAGCAAATAATAAAAGGTTTTACAAACTTCCTAGTTGCTATAAAAGGAATTTTTTCAAAACAAACAAAATATTAGAGTAACTTTAGTACAAATTATAAGACTTCATATAAAAATATTTTTATTGTATACTACTTAAACTTATAAGTGCAGAAACAGTTAATTCCAAAGTGCTTTGAAGATTTCATTTTAACACATACAAAAGCTCTCTTAATAATGTGTAAAAAGAGTCAAAATAATGTGTAAATATATAATTAGTAATATATACTTTCATAGAGGAGTAGGCAAACAAAATACTTCACATAATCTAATTTAAATACGGTATTTACATTCCGCCTACAGCCTTAGTACTTTAAAAACATTATCATTCAACATTCTGTTAATTATATTAAAATATTTATAAATAAATAAAATTATCGCTTCTGAAAATTTGCTTTGAGGGAAGATTTAGACTGTGAAGTTATATATATATATATATATATATATATATAACGAAACTCAGTGGCGCGACAGCCCTAGGGCCAAGGCCTATGTGCCCATCTCAGTTTTCTTAACCTTGTGCTCTGGGGTCCAGGAGCAGATTTTTCGGTCAGGTGGTCAGCCGAACGCGGAACCCCCAGTGTTTAGTTCCCAAACA